GATAAGCCCATTCTTGCAGATTCCTAGAGATTATTTGAAAAAAAAATTATTTTTTAAGATATTGAGGGTTTTTTGACATTTTGCAAGGTAGATTTTTGTTCGACATCCATAGAGGATGTCGGGTAATGTTGGAATCACCTTCCATCATTAATGACCCTATTCAGGGGTCACCCTATATAATTCAGGAACAAACAGTACATTTACTTTGTTTTGTTTTTACGTTAAATTACAAGTAATATATATTAAATTATGAATAAAATATATTTATTTCAATTTTAATTGAAATTTGTGACTCAAAACAAACTATTTTCAACTATGTATAGACAACTAGTTATGCCATATAAAGATTTTCTTCTCATTTAGTTTTGAATTTAACTCTTCGTGCATCATGTCTTTTTATAAGTTTAATGACTACATACAATGTCTGTATGTAAATTTTAAAAACTTTTGCGGTAGTTAACAATGAATGCAACATATATTAACTCATTCAAAAGCAAATTTCTGGTATATATAGTATCTGTGTATACAGACTTATTCTCAACATTTGCCACACGACATTAGTCAAGTATGACAAAGCATACAACTTAACGTTATGATAATAATATAATTATGTGAAAACCACATTATTCATAATTTTCATTATTATGAAGATACGAGTATTATTGTTTAAAGCTTTTGCAGATAGATGTACCAATGTTGAAGAATGAAAAAATTGTATTTATACAACATAATTGTGTTAAAGTGGTTTAATATGAGAAAAACTTAAATAACAGTACAGCAATGTTGAATATCGCTATTAGTCTCTTCATTAAATATGTTAGTATAAGAATTTTATTTAATTTCTAATATAATAAAAATATATTTATTTTAAAGAGTAAACTAATTTAATTACGAACTAACACTTTTTATTTAGTCAACATTTTTAACATTTTTTTCATTTCTATATAAATAGAAATATAAAAGCTATTAAAACGAAAAATTAATTGCAGTAATTACATTATGTATAAATTATGATTACTACATATTAAGACATGTTTATAATACTAAATACTCACTAATTTAGTCTACATTTATACCTGTTTCGCTCTGTTACTCTCAATTCACTGAAATATTTCCCTATTTTTAATTGTACATGAAAGCTTAAGTTTTAAAACACCAATAGTATAACTCATTGATGTATACTGGGTTGAATTTTATATATGATATAAGAACTCAACCTAACTAATGTAACTTTCACATTATATTACCTTTAGCTATGATATCAACCCTAAGACATATGTAAATGGTAAGGCTTTGTTAGGTATTTTATTATCACTAAACAATGTGCTAGCGTTTATATTTTAACAACTCCACTTACATTTTATTGAATAAAAAAGAACTGCATCTCTTTAAGTCTTCCAACTTAAAGTTCACACACAGCGAAGACACGAAGCAATGTGTGCTCTCTGAGGTTTATACTATATACACAATCATACCAAAGAGTGATTGTGTGAAGTAGACCGCATTAATGGAAAACTGACATGGAAGAATAATATAAAAACTAAATGCGAAGAAGTGAATAACAATAGGAAGATCTAGCTATTTCATACAAAGAATAAAGCCCTATCTTCAAAAATTAGGTACTATTTATTAAAACCCTATTAAAACTAGTATGGTATGCAACTATGGAGTGTGGCAACAAAATCTAATTTAGGTATGATATATTTTATATATCAAAGATATTAGTCTAGTCTAAGATTTGAAGAGAGCGAGTTTAAGACTACAATTTGACTTCTTAGTACTGATAATAAACTGAAATTTTTCTTGTTAAATATTGTGGCTATTTGATAAACAATAAATTCATAACTTTAAAAATAAGGTGCTATTTATCAAAATCCTTTTAAAACTATTAAAGCCTGACTTTAACCTTGGTATATTATACAACAGAGATTAGGATCTAAAATTTTAAAGCTACCATTTGACGATCTTTAATTTATATCAGATACAATAATTTATTGAAAATTGGAATTAAACCCAATCAATAATAAAGAAAATATCTTCAGGCACAGAGCGGTTGTTAAAAGTTCTAAGAATCACAGCATAAGAGTCTAAGAATTTCTTGGATAACAACATAAAATTTAGAATATTTAAAATGGTCCTCAATCTAAACCTATATTTAGATAGATATAACTAAATAACTATAAATAAAGACTTAACGTAATTTTATTTATAATTATAGTTATAAAAAGTTATTTATATATTGTTTTAGTATAGTGTTGATCAATTTTGAAAAAATTAAGATACAAGGAAATAAAACTATAATATTATTACAAAGTCTTTTATGTCAGAGTTTTTGAATTGACTAATCTTTGAAATAACTTAAAATAATCCATTAATTCAAATTCCATTTTAATCAACTAAAAGTTATTCGTACAATTTAATTTTATAGGATATAATAAAACAACTTATAATCGATCATTAAAATTCTATAAGTTAAATTATTTTAACTGTGTTTCATTTGAAACAAAATAAAATACCTCTTTCTTTTTTTTATTGACGGAAAATAATTTTCATTCATATAATTTTACTGAGTGTTTCTTCTATAGATAACCTAATAATCGTCACGTTTTTACCTTGATAATAGAATTAGTCATACGGTTCTTTTTCAATTTTGTAAAATCATGTTATGAAATTAATAATTCGTGTTTTTATTGTATAGTTTTGAAGTATTGCATATTAGTTTCTCGTTGCCATATATATAAAGTTTCCTAAGCCAACTGTCAGTTTGCAAATAGATCTCATAGCAATGAAACCTAATAAAACAAATCAGTGAAAACTATCCCCACATATTACATCCTTTTTGAACCGACATTTTTATAAAAGAAAATTTTTTTCCATCATTATTTGGAAAAACTTAACTCCTTGACCGATCTTGACCACTCTTAAATGGAAACAAGTTGGCTGGTAATGTCTGTTTACTGTATTCAAAAACAAAAACTAATTTAATACTATATTATCTTTGTCCTCAATTAAATTAAGGGCAATTAACTTTTAAAAAATGCTAATTTACCAACTTAATGTAAACATCAACTTCACTTCACGTTTTTTAATTGATTGACATTTCATTGATTAAAATAAAATCCATGTGAAGATTTGATAACAGATTAGTTTTTATTATTTGTTCTATATTTACATATTTACAAGCTATCAATAGACATTCAGTAAATAAGATTTAATTTTTTTCTATAACAAGTTGAAAGTGGTAGTGGTAGTGTGAGTAGTAGTAGTAAGACATTATAATTATTGTTTGCTTATTCTGACACCAAAAATTAACCCCTACAAAACTTATTCTGACCGTGTTGTACTCACGAAGACATGAAAAATAATAATTTATTCCAAGCTGCATAATATTTCTATTCTTTCCTGCCTAATTTTTCTACACATCGTTGAAGCATTTTTATATAAGATTAATAAGCAATTTATTTTAATCCTTAAATATAAAAAATTGGGTAAAAGTGAAGTGTTATGATTTTACATATCGTTATGATCGAAGCCGTTTTAATCTCTATAAAAAATAACAGATTTGCTAAATACTTACAATCTATAGTTTTATGAATCATAGATAGTATTTCAACTTCTTCATATGAATATGGTTGGTTGATTTGTTGCAGTGTCAGGTCTGAAGACCTGATATCCATATTTAGCGATTTTTCCATTTTACTATCAAACTCCTTACAAGAAACCTTAGGATATAAAAAGAAGATAAAAACTAAGTTCAAAGGTTAACTAAATAGATCTGTCGTTCTTAGTGATGAATAGTCTGACCAAAGAGAACTCCAGTGAGCACTGTAATATTCATCATATAAGGGTATATAGATGATTTAAAAAAACTGGACGATTATATCGCATTTTTATATATATTTCCTAAATTCACTAAAACGTTGACTCATTCAAATGGTTACATTTTTAGTGATAAATAAGAAATGTTATTTAATAAACTATTATAAAGTGTAAATAATAAATAAATAATAACCAAACAAAATCAATTACTGTCCGAATAATTTTGTTACAAAGGCGTTTTCCTCCTAAATGGAACTCTGTTAATCACACCTTGAATAATTAATGTAATATACTATTTTCTACTATTTTGATATAAGCAAATAGTCTGTGTCTACATTATATGTATGTACAATGCTACAATTAATATAACAATAACTACTGATAAACCCCTTATAATATATATATATATTTAATCCTTATACTCCTAGGAGGAGCATAGGGCCGCAACAAATAACTTCCACTCGGTACGATTGGTGGCCAACCTTATAAAATAGTTAATTACTATTATATCAATTGTCTTTGCCTTAATAATGCTGTTTTAAATGTTGTAAATAATTAATTTAAAAGTGGAATAAGAATGGGTCCAAGATATTTGGTTTATATTTAAAAGCCATAACTTCCTAGTGTGATGAAGAACTGACAAATCAAAGAATTAATATAGAGATTTTTTATTAAAATATGTATGTTTCATTTTTTTACAATATTTACTTGTATTGTAGAAAAAATAATTTTTATATATATTACTAAAAATATGTAATGGATGTTATAGTCTTATATGAAAAAAGTTTATTAATATCTGAACCGTTAAATAAGCATGTTCGATTTGGTTACGATCAACTTAAAATTTATCAACTCTTATTATAATGTTTTTGTAATTCTATAAGTATATATATATATATTTCTTAATAGTTATAGCTAATAGTTATACTAATAGTATCTATAATAGATACTCGCATAAATGAACATCTCTTTGTGCAATGTTTTGATTCAAAGTTTTCTAAAAAAGGAAGTTCTGTTTTCTTAACAGAACTGAACTGCTGGTTTCTTTTGTATCTACTTAGGAGAACTTACACTATATCAACACATGATTGTCTATTGTATTATATGTATTTGCAAAGTTACTTATAAAAAATATCAAATTCCATTTATTGATTTTGTTTATTTTAATAATTTACTTACAGGAATTACGTGAAAAATGTGATAGAGAAGCTAATGAGAAACATTTTATAACTAGTGAATCAGAAAAGCCTCAAAATAGATTTTTAAACAGATATCGTGACGTAAATCCTTATGATCACTCTCGGATTGTAATTCATCGAGGAAGCGTCGACTACATAAATGCAAATTTAGTAAAGGTATTAATAATAATTAATCATATTTAATGTGTTGCATATTTAAAATTTCATTTCAATAGTTTGATCGTGCCGAAAGAAAATATATTTTAACGCAAGGTCCTCTTGGCGATACAGTGGGCCATTTTTGGTTAATGGTTTGGGAGCAAAATACGAAAGCTATACTAATGTTAAATAAATTAATGGAAAAGAAGCAAGTCAAATGTCATCTGTATTGGCCGGAAAGAAAAGGTGCAGAACATGCGCTCAAACTGAATGAAGTAAAATTGACAATAGAACTCTTACGTTGTGAAGAATATAAAGATTATTGTCGTAGATGGTTCAAGTAAATATAATTTGTTATAAACATAAATAAATCTAATACTTATAATATATGTATATATATATATAAATTATTTTAAAGGTTAACAGACGTAGAATCGAATCAGAGTCGAGAGATTATACAATTTCATTATACAACTTGGCCTGACTTTGGCATTCCTAGCTCACCAGTAGCATTTTTACGTTTTCTTAAACAAGTGCGTGATTCCGGTGCTTTAGAACCAGATGTTGGTCCTGCAGTAGTACATTGTAGTGCTGGTATTGGCCGATCAGGCACTTTCTGTTTAGTCGATTGTTGCTTAGTATTGGTAAGTATTTTTTTTAATGTGATTTATTTATTGAAATAAATTAATTATAAATGTACAAATATTTTATAAAATATTTAAATATAAAATTCTGTTAATTTCATTCATATTCAAATTTGATATGCTTAGATTTACGAAAAATTAATTTACAAAGTTTTGTTTGATTATCCCTTTTAGTCAGTTACGTTCATCAGACAAATAGTCGTTTAGTTTCTAAGTTTCTATTACGTAGATTCGATGTTATTACATCATCTGCGATGCCTCCTTATCTACGTTTAAACGTAAATTCCCTTTATAAACAATAACCCTTTTAGTCAATTTATTACTTACATTCACCAGACAAACAGTCTATTAGATTCTAAGTTTCTATTAAGTAGATTCAATGTTATTACATCATCTGCGATGCCTCCTTATCTACGTTTAAACGTAAATTCCCTTTATAAACAATAACCCTTTTAGTCAATTAATTACTTACATTTACCAGACAAACAGTCTATTAGATTCTAAGTTTCTATTAAGTAGATTCAATATTATTATATTATCTGCGATGCGTCCTTATCTACGTTTAAACGTAAATTCCCTTTATACCTAAACAAATATTACTCAAAATACATTTTTTTAAAACAACAAGTAAATGCAGGTTTTTGATCAGTTCATAATGCATAACCAATACGATTTTTAAAGTGATATCAATAACTTAAGATATATAAAAATGTTTTAAATATAAATTGAACTAGTAGAATAAAATAATCGACTTCAATAGGAATCTTCAATCAATTATTAAATATTATGATCAATAAAAATGTTTTAAATATAGATCGATAGAGGAGAAGATGATGTCTCAGTTAAAGATGTTTTATCTGAATTGCGAACATATCGTATGGGCTTAATACAAACTATGGATCAATTATACTTTTCATATCAAGCAATAATCGAAGGCATGAAGTTACTTAAAGATCCCGTAAGTATAATTAAGTTTTGAAAATTTTACATAATTTTTAGGTATTATTTTAGAAAATTATCTACTAATTTAATTTTACTATAAATTTTATTTTTACAGAGTTTTATTGATTATAAAGAGGAACCAATTATACGGAATGATGATCAACGATGCGAACCTTTTAATTTAGACGAAACTCCACCGCCTCTACCTCCACCACGCTCACTTTCCCTATTACCATTAGCTGGCACTGCTGGTGGAATGTTAACATTAAATCTGTGTGGTACACAAACTAAACCCCTGCCTAAAATACCAACAAGTGAGAGCTTTAATGATGATCTTTATGCTCCAGACAATAATCAGCACAAGAATAAGGATGCGCTCAATAACTTTATAAATAATGAAAAAACAATTGATAATATGTCAAATCGACCACTCCCACCACTGCCGCCATCACAGAAAAATCAAAACTCACTAGATTGTATTAATGATTCAGATAGTGATGAAAACGATTTATATGAAGATGATAGTGACGATGAAGCAGCAGATGATGAAAACGCAAATAATGAGAGTAATGGATCTAATACGAAATTTGATGATTTACAAAACAATACCACAGAAGACCTTAATGATGTAAGAAAATTAAATGGTATTGAAGGCTTAACTAATCGTACTACAAGGTATATTTATATATATGAATTTAATTTATATTTTTACATTTAATGAAAATGTGATTAAAAATAACTAAATTTTTTTGTTTTTGTTTTTAGTCCGGATAATGAACTGAAACGGCGAAAACGAGTCGAACGTCAAGCAAATATCGAACAAAGAGTAAACGAAATTAAACGGAAGCAACGCGAAGCTGAAGAAAACCAACAGGCGGCGAAAAAACGAAGGTCATTAGTTACATATATAGCTACAGGTGTAATTGTGGGTGTAATATGTGTGTACGCCTATACAAAATTGACCTAAAATATTAAATTTTCTTCTATTGTTAACATATTACTTAGAACATTTAATTAACTTGTGAGAACATTAGTTTTTGCTAACAAAACTGAGAGAAAAAAAAATAAAATAAAAAAACTACCACAAACTCCCAAAGCACTTTAGTGTGGGCTTAGACGGACACCGACAACCCTGAATATAGGAAAAGAAACGTACAATTCACACATACACAATAACACAATAACACTTGTTTAACAGAAGAATTAGAAATCAAAACTTTTTACTAATATAATAATAATAATAATTTTATAAGTAATTTTTAAGGTTTTTAAATTTGTATGAATTTTTTTTTGATAAATTTGTACGTTGCTAAGAAGTTTCTGTAAACACTTAAGTGAAAAATCCTCACACAAAAAATTTAAAACAAAAATATCATTAATATAACTGCTATTGCTTTTATTGTTCTAACACTAAATTTAATTTTTTATTTAATATTTATAAACAACAAACATATATGCATATTTTAGTTAATTAATATAATACAAATTTGCTGCACAGTTTACAATTTTCTATTTTGTAATGAATAAAACTGTAGAGTGACCGTTAAAACATCTTTTCGAGTAAATTACAATAGACTGAAAAATTAGAACAAGTTTTATTAAAAAAAAAAAAAATAATAATAAAAATATATTAATACACTATATATATATATATCTTATATGCTGTATATATATATATCTGCATGTATATATATATATGCTCCATATAAATATGTTTCTATATAGGCATATATAGCTTATATAAAAATAAGTTAAAATCCATTTCTATGTTGTAATAGTTATTAGAAATCATATATACTATTTATTTAGGGCTAAGATTAACCCACTTTACTTTCTTGTAAGCTTTTAAAAAGCACAATGAAAGCAATTAAATTGCAAACATTTAGAGTCTACAAGTTTTTTTTTTTTTCATAGTTTACTTTCGTTTACTTTCTGTCTATAAATCTTAATATTTATCAAATAATACAAAATATATAGTATATTTTATAATTTTTCAAATTTTGTTCACATTTGCATTACAACAATATAAATGTGCCAAAGTAATTTTATTAAAATATTAAAATTATTTTTATTTTTTGGCAAGAAATTACCCAATTTAAATTTACTTTTAATATTCATTTTAAATTAAAGTGAATTTTTAATTTATTTAAAAAATGATCGTATCATTTGTTTGCAAATATTGTTTTTAAACTAGCAAATGTTAAAACAACACACACGTATATATTAACGCACATTGTTTTAAAAATGTACCGAACTTTTATATTTAAATAACAAGTAATTTTTATAGTTCAGTTGAAATTTTTCTTTTATAAATATTAAATTGATTACGTTTGAATATATATTTTTCAAACAAAATTTAGGCAGTTCCAGGAAGATTTAAATGAGTTAAAATAATATAATGTGATTTTAGCAAAATTCACTGCACCGTTAATTTGTAAATATATGGTTTAATCACAATTTTCTATTTAAAGAATTTTTTTCAATGATTTTTTTTTTTAATTTAATATTTGGGTCATGCAATATCTATTGCTATTTGCTATTTTTGTAATAGATGATAGAAAATTAGTTCTATAAAAAAAAACATTTTTTTGGCAATACTACTAATATCTAACGTTTCTTCTTATACCAATTTTATTTTATCTGTGAATGTACACGACTACAAATTTTAAATATTGCTTTCTCTTTTTGGGAAGAGTGTGTAAGAGCTTTTAATTTTTGTAGAAATTTAAACTAAATAGAAGATTTAAATCTTGTTAAATTTTAAATTATAGGCAAATCACTTATGGAACCAAACTATAAAGTACTTCAAGTAATAATTTAACACATTTTATGTGCACCTCTACCTTAACTCTACCTTTATTCTATTTTTTTCCACTTTTTATATTTAATTTTACTAACATCTAACTACTAAAAGTATAGAAGTTATTTTTGATATATGTACTACTGACCTCACAACACGATCTAGTTGCAATGATAAATTAATAACACTTTGTTCTGAATTTCAATGCATAATCTAAATTGTACTATAGTAAATTATAAATTTATATTAAATTATATGTTTTATTCTAAAATGTTATTATAACTGATTAGGTATAGTAAATTTTGTAAAATTATAAAATTAAGTACAATCGTATTGATGATTTTAAACATAATAAACCTAAAGCGCGCTACAGACGGTCTATTTGCATAATCAAGCATTTTGAATATAATGACGAAATATATTTGAAATGGATGATATATAATTGAAATTTTTCTTTAAGCAAAAAGTTATTAATAAGTAAATGAACAGTGTATATGTGTGTTTGATGCTTAACGTCATATGCATAGTTCAAGGAAACATATATAAGTATATCATACATGCATATGTCTTGCTTGAACAAGCATTTTAACGTGTGTAGTGCTTCTTAGGAAAATATTTTGTTATTGCTTATACTGATCTATCTTGCCGTTTTATAAAATTAATTTTTATACTATACCAAATATTATTTGAATATCTTCCGATTAAAGCAAAAGGATTTACGAGTCTGTTAAAACTCCTCCTATTTTCCCATTACTGCTTTCCGTTTTTAATCAGTTTATTTTTCACTACTTTTTGCTTTACATTTTTGTACATTTTTGGGTTTTAAATGCTAGACTTCTTATGAATCAATATATTAACATGTATAATTTACAGAAAAATTTTAAGTTATCGTATATATTCATTTATACAACAATTTATATATATACATAATATTAACGTTTTTGTTTAAAAAATATCTGTTAATTTTTTGCTTAATAATCTATGTACAGACCTGATAGCAATTTTATTTATATATATTCAAAAGTTTCAATTTAGGTATTTATTTTTACTATAATTTATTATATCGTTGTAAAATATTTGAGAGGCATATTTGTTAAAATATTGGTATTAAAGGTTCACATTTTTGAGACAAAAACAGAAATTTGTTAGTTATAGTTAAGCTTATTTAATTGAATATCAATAATCTAAGAGCTTTACTATATTTTATTATATTTATTAATTCAATTGAATATCTAAAATCTAGTTAGTGGCTTTATATTTTTTTTAATATATTAAAGATTTTCAAATATAAAAATTTTAAGCTATAAAGTTATCGATTGTCTTGTGTTAACAACCATAATAATGCTTTTATTATTTTTTAATTTAAATATTTTTTGTTTAGAAATATTTTAATTTCTATTAAAAATTACAAAACAAAAAAAAAAATAATTTAATAATTTAAATGTTTAATTTTCTGAATTTTATTATACAAGAAAAAAAAAAGAAGAAGCAGAGTGTTACAAATGTTTGCATTACTGAAGCATTTTTTAAGTAAATTATAACTCTAGAAAATACCCTTAATACTATTACTATATATAATATACATATAAAAAATCTATGTTATTTAAATATTAACAACAATATATATTTGTATACATATATATTTTTGTGTGTATATGTTTATATATTGTATATATGGTATATATAAGCATATTTACACATATTATATATAAACTTACATATACATATATACGTATGTATATATAAAGAATTCTGACGACATTCTTTAATTTTGGATTTGTTTTTATTTAAGTTTAAACTTTCATAGACATAAGCATACATATATATATACATAAGAATAAAAAAATAATTTATTTTTATATATGTATCCCTTGTAAGCAAAATTTATAAGATAACTAAATAAATAATATAAATAAAATGCAAAACACAAAAAAAAAAATATTATAGACTCTACAAAATAAACTGAGATTCTAACTTTAAAAAACCGAATGACTTCAATTTATTTAAAGTTTATTGAAACGTGAAACTGAAAAAAAAATAACATAAATTTCAATCTTCAATCTATATATTTATAAGACAAGCATTAAAATATATTTGTATATATATTTTTTAATACTGTTATGTTGTTCTGTTTTATAATTTTAACAAATAGAATTGTGTTTACTTTATGTTTCAGGCGTGTGAGGGGTAAAAATGAAAATGATACCGAGTGATGATTTTATTGAAGAGCGCGCGTTCCAAAACACTACATTGCCGTTGACTATATATAACTTTAATGAAAATTGGCACAATTTAATTTGTACTACTCCTGGTACTATAGCATACAGCACAATAACTCCATTCAGTCATCATATCAGCAATAATACAAAAACAAAAAATAATGTTACATAAAAAACTTATCTTTTTTATAAAAACTAATTTATAGCACTTAACTAATATAGATATATATAGATATATGTAGATATATGTAGATATATATATTTATATATATATTTGTTTACGTATACTCTAATTGTAATAATCATTTGAAAAATCTAAACCACATCATAAAATTAGCACAGGCAAAGTATTTATACATAATCTAGGTATATAATAGATTTATTGCTAATTTTATTAAATAATAGCAAATAATTGATTATTCAATTTTTTGATTAATTTCTAAAAAGTAAAAAATTACTATTTCATGGTCCGGGAAATTTTTGAATATATTTCGAACTCGAATTTTAGCTGTACTATTATTTTTTGCTAATAATAATTTTTAATTCTAAAAATTGTGAACTAAATTTTAATAACTATTAACTTAATTACTTAATTAATTGTTTTAAGTTAAATCGTTTTTATTAAATTAACTTTATATAACATATATATAAAAGTGCATTAAATTTTTTATTTTTGATTTAAATTTAATATTTGTAATAAAGACGATATTGTTTACAAGGAGCACATAGTCAACTCCTTAACTTTTCAAAAATAAAAATTGTACAATTTTAAAAATATTGAGAATAACAAAAATTGTTAAAAAAAAAAACTATTTAATTGTTATATTGGTATATATTCAAAATTCTTTTAAATCATAAAAATTGTACATAAAAACTAATTATTTATGTTAATAAAAATAAATTCATTTTCGTTAATATCGAAACTATGTGCTTTTTATTGACCAATGTAACGTCGGTCTTAAATAAACAATATTATTTTAACAAATAAAATGTATTAACAATACATTAATAATTATGTATATGTTACATTATATTTGTATATATACTTATATATTAATATATAATTAAATATTTTATTTTACTATATCATTATGTATACATTAATATACAAATATATGACAATATTTATATATATTTATGTATGTGTACACCAGTATATATATATATGTGTGCTTCAAATATTATTCAAGCTGTTTGAGATACTTTAATGAACTCGTACATCGATCCATTCAAAAATTTACGTATATTTACTCAGCATTACAACATTCGTTATATGCGTTTATGATATAATACTATATTCACACAAGAGTTTCGATTGTACTTTTAGCTGTCAAAATGAAAATAAAATATAAATAAATATAAATATAAAGCAAATTTATTATTTGTTTATCTCGAACTTTTTAAATAGATCGGACAACTCAAATGTTCGATGCAAATGTTCAAATCCAAGTTAAACTCAAATTACTAAAGCTTTGTAACTAACTATTAATAATTTGAAGCATCAACATATATCTATTTTTATAAACATTCAGAGATATATAAATATATGTACTTATAGGTGTCAACTTTAATAAATATGTATAATTATTTTATATAAATATGTATGTATATATGTCTCTGATCCCTTTTAAGCATAAAAATGTATCAATTTTTATAAACATTCATAGATATATAAATATATATACCAATAAGTGTCAATTTTGATAAATATATATAATTATTTTATTTATATATATATAAATATATATATATGTATCTAACAGATATGTATATATATTTAATAGAATATATTTATATATATATATTTAATATATATATTATATATATATGTATATATATATATTTATATATATTATATTTATTATTATATTTAATAGATATATATTAATTATTTTATATATTATATTAATTTAATAGATATATATTTATATATATATTATTTAATAGATATATATTTATATATATATTTAATAGATATATATTTATATATATTATATTAATAGATATATATCTATATATATACTATTAATAGATATATATTATAATATATATTAATTAGATATATATTTACTATCATATTATTATATATACTTATATTAACTAGAATATGTTTTATATAATATTAATAGATATACATTTATATATATATATTTTCTATATAATTGATAGATATTTATAAATATTTGATAGTTATTTATATTTACTTGATAAATATGTATATTTATTTTATATGTATTTTATGGAAATAAATAATATTATGTATTATTAATATTTATTTATAAATATGTATGTATTTTGTATACACTTATATTTATATGTATATATATTATATATTTTTATATATAAATCTTCTATTTTAGTCTTAAGGTATATGAATATTTTCAAAAGATATAATTACAAAAACATACATTAAATTTTTAATATCTTGAATATATCTTATAATATATATACACGAATATTAGAGACATATCTGTACGTGCTTTAGATGTTTTACTAGATACTCATAATCATTGTACTGTTTATTTAAAGTGTTAATCATTTCTAATTATTAAGAGTTTAATTATTAAAAGAAAATAATGATTAACCGATTTTATGAGTAATCTACAGTTACAGATCAATTTAAATGAATACACGCTATGTTTCTTACACTTTATAGATAAAATTTTTGCTGGAGATAATCATACTTTATTTAATTACTATTTGCACAGCAGCTTTATTGATTTTTGTAACATTATGAAAAGAAATATCAACGAATGCAACTGGGTAAAAGGAATATTTTCAGATTGAGGTACATTAGAGTACATTGTATTGAACTCTTATATCAATTGTTGAGATAATAGATGGGCTACATATTATGAATATATCAAAAATCTAAGCAGCAAGGACATCACATTTTTAAATTAAGGTTTATACATAATTTTCAGCTTTTCATTCATTCTTATATTTCAAATAACCTATGTGTTTATTACAATTCGGATTGTCATAATTGTATCTGTAGCCCGATTTGTAGCATGAAGATATAAGTAATAATGGTTTACATTAACAGGGAGTATTGTTTTGCTGGAAATCTCAGCAAATTGAGACTTATAAACTTGAATAATGCGCAACTGTTTAGAACCAATGCAGCTCCGCAAATCTCACTCACATTTGATACGTTCATAGGTACATACTTATGAGTTATACGATCGTTCTAACCTTCCTTATGTTTTAAAAGGTGCAGACATCTATATCTACACAAATAGTCAAACAGCAATCAATGCACTATTCTCCTGAAAACTTTTCTCTATATTGCGTTTTAGCTAGAAAGAGGATGATATATTACTGTATGCCTAAATGTACTGAAATTTTGGGTAATCAAACCATGATCAGATAAATGTGTTAATTTCGTATTGTATTTAAATATATATAAACATTATTACTAAAAATGTAACTGATCGCTGTAACCGTTATATACAGATATAACTGATTAAACTTCTGACTACATAGTATTGCACAACATTCACACTACCATATAAAAGGGTAATTAAGATGAGATGTTTAGGAAACTCTTAATACTTCCGTTGGTTTTTCAGGATGCAAAACAATACTGGAAAATATTATTCTAACCATGAACGTTTCAGCAGAAATGATTTTATATAATTTCAATAAATAAAAACTCTTATTAAAACTCTAAGGGCCATGTTATGTAGAATGTCATGGGCTCGTCAAAATTGTCTCGTTTGGGCTTTGACGAAATTGCATCTTATGCAGTGCTTCTAAACGACACAAATGTTGACATATATTACTGAATTACACTATTTTGCCTAAGTGACAAGGCACAAATAGCCCCGCCTCTTATGACAAAATTTAAACCTACATATTGTTTTGTCTCTTAATCTCAATTTTATAATTTCCTTTAAAAAACAACAACAATTTTGCTCACGAAGAGTCCATGAAATTCTTCTTAACACACACATGGCCTTTATACTCTTTCATCTTTTTAAACTCTCATAATACAAAACATTATTAATAAATACATACATATATATATAAATATATTCCTTTGATTTATTTCGGTGGGGGACTTCTACCCTTCAAGCAAATATGTATTTTGTTTTTTCTTTATCGATAAGTAAATGAACTATGAATACAATTCAGATGTTGTAGTTCAAGGAACACAATATCTTAATTCGGTTTTTTTACAAAAATAAAAGCTTTTGGCATCAGATTGTGGGAGCTCTACTGGATACTGAATAAAAACTCAAAGCTCTCAATCGAAAATAAACTTATTATCAATAAAGGTACACTTATGACATTGAACTCTGGGGAACTGCTGCATCTTGAAATATGGAGATAATCCAACGTTTCCAATCAAAACCACTTAGAATAATCTCAAATCTCCTATAGATATATGACAAATAAATGTAAACACCGCGATCTCAACATCTCCGTAGTTAAGGATGTTATAAAAAGTCAAGCCAGAAATTACAAAAACCATTTGCAATATCATTTTAACCATTTTGTTAGTAGAATTATAGCAGAAAGAAGAAAGTTCACACGTCTCCACAAATAAATGCCACTGGAACTTTAATTTGTGATCGATTTCAACAGACGGATGTGCTACTGAGCACAGTACATTCAAGCCCATAAAAATTTTAAGTATTTATCTACTTACTCTTAAATATTGTTCATTGTCTATTCCTTAGCGACAGATCGCAATCAAGGAAATTAAATTTTAAAAAAAAATTTTCTTTCATCGTTTTTGTTGATAATAATGTTCATTTTAAGCTGGTAATTCAATAATTGCTTGAAACACAGTTTTACACGACATAAACACTTTTAAGTAATTTTATTCATAAAAAATCTAGATATGGCAGCACTGCTGATGAACATTTTGAAAGTTATTGTGAGGAATTACTCATCTTACAAAGAATTGTCATTTGTGGTGTCATTAGCAAAGAAAAAATGGTCAAAGAGTTTTCTCAGCTGCATTGTTGAACGATATATTTATTGCGTATATTTCCAAGTCATTTAATAAGCAAAAAAAAAACAAATAAATTGTATATATCAATAACCACAAACGAAATTTAAAAAAACGAAATGAACGCGGGTGTTGAAGCACAAATAACAAAATTACTATCAAAAGTAAATTAATTGTTTTATGTTTTAATTAAATTCATTTATACATTTTTTTTAATACAATATAGTATCAAAATGCGGCTGCAGCAAAAAGGGATGTATTGCTGGTGGTAGCGAATTACCGCAGTTTATCTTACAAACTACAACAATATGGTATATATTAATAATAACAATCAATTTCTATGTTCCTCCCCGCAATTGTCTTTCACAAATGTAAAATCACTCATTGTTTTTGTTTACAAAACTAGGGGAGGAGACAATAGAGAAAATTTGTCTGATGACAAATAATTTGATTAAATGAAATTAAGTTAATGTTAAATATAATTTTTCTTTATTAGTTTTTAATGATGGCTCTGCAAAGGATTTATTCTGTTTGGATGGAACTATTCCAGTGGTTTATAAAAGTAAGTCTTACAGTAAAAAAGAAAAACAAACTGAAACTAAATAAAAATTATTTTATAAGATAATACATATTACATTCCAATTTGTATATGGTTAATGGACACACATCCTAACAATGCACCAATTTGCTTCGTAAAGCCAACACCAACAATGCAAATTAAATGCTCCATGTATGTGGATTATAATGGAAAAATATATTTACCTTATCTGCACGATTGGCAACCTGTGAGTGAATTAAATTGTGAACAAAGTAAAATAAATCTAATAAACTAAACTTTTTTAGCATACATCTGATCTAGTGTCACTTATACAAGTAATGATTTTTACTTTTGGTGATCATCCACCGGTTTATTCGAAGCCTAAAGAGCAAGTGGCGCCTTATCCAGCTTCCAGTAAGTTAATTTCATTAAAGTATTATATTTATTAAATTACTTCATACAATAGCATTTATGCCACAACCAGGTGGCAGTGGCGCTGGCACCGGTTATTTACCATACCCCACAGCTGGTGGTAGCGGTGGTGCTTTCCCACCATATCCTACTAGAAATAATTTTGGCTCCTATCCACCTTACCCAACGCCGGGCAATGTTAATCCTGGCCCAAATGCAAGTGGTTACTCAGGCTATATGAATTTTCCAACAGTTCCTGGATATAATTCTGGATATGTATGCATATTATTATTTCAATTTAATATTTGAACGTAAAGAGTGTGTTTGTTAAAATTTTTGTTAGAATCCTACAAATCCCGGCTCTACAGGTACAATCACAGAGGAACATATAAAAGCATCTCTCATAAGCGCTGTTGAGGATAAGCTGCGACGCCGTTTGGAGGAGAAAGTTAACCAATATCAAGCAGAAATTGATACACTGAATCGTACAAAGCAAGAGTTGGTAGAAGGTAGTACTAAAATTGATGCAATTATTGCACGTTTACAACGGGAAGAGGTAAGCATCATTACAACTTGTTTGATCATTGATTTATAAATTAATACGTTTTTAATTTGTTAGGTTGAAATGCAGAAAAACATCAATATTTTACGTGATAAAGAACAGGAATTAGAGAAGAGTTTAGAATCAATGGAAAATTCTGAAGGAATTGATCCAGATGAAGCAGTAACCACCACAGCACCTTTATATAGACAGTATGTCCTGTATACAATAATTACTTTTTTATATATTATGTGTATTTATTGTAGATTACTGAACTCATATGCAGAAGAAGCTGCTACTGAAGATGCCATATATTACTTAGGTGAAGCGCTGCGTAGTGGCGTAATTGATTTGGAAACATTCTTGAAACATGTACGTCAACTATCTCGTAAGCAATTTATGCTGAGAGCTGTCATGCAAAAATGTAGACAAAAAGCGGGACTTGCTGGTTAGTGTTTTCGACAATTGGCATTGAATTGATGTTAAAATAAAATAAAATTCACTCATATTGATATATATTAAATTTTATCATATATATATATATATACTCTATTAACATTAGTTACTGCAATTTATAATTTAATAAAATTGTTAGGTTTTGCTAAATAAAATTACTTTCTATTTAAATATATTTTGTCTGAAATGACAATGTATCCATTTTAAAGTAAAAAAATGGTTCATGGTGAGACATGTTTTATGAAAAATTATTTTAAATCATATAATATGGTTGACCATACAAATGTTTCGAATACCTGCTAATATCCATTTTCAGTGGTATTTGAAAGGACTTAGTTTAATTAATTTGGTTTGGTCTGCAAGACGCAGACCACGTTTAATTTCCATTATTTAATTTTGAAATTTTATTGTTAACTTTTGTTATTACTTTCTGAGAAATTGTATTATGGAAACACGTCATCTGTTGGTATTGTAACCACATGTCGGCTTTATAGGGAAAGGGGAAATATTTTAACATACAAGTGTAAAATTGATTGTATAGCATTTGTTTTTGTAACCACAAGTGAACCTTATAGGCAATATTTTAATATGCAACTGTAAAATTGATAACATTTATATACAAATATAAATTTTTATTAGAGTACGTAAAAACAGTCTCATATCAGAAACGATTGCTTACAAAACTATTTTTAGAAATCCTCAGTTGAGTTTCTTTCCTGTTCTATCTTGGGAGTAGTGAGAAGCACTTGGTCATCTGTAAAAATAAATGACTACCACCTTCAATTTTTTTGTCATAGTAAAAAACTGATAAGAATAGTGAGCATCAGCTGAAAACTAATATACATATATGTACGATGATATAAATCATCTTACATACTTATAAACAAATGTTGTTGTTATAACCCACGGGACCTGTTTGTAAAATCCCTTTGGTTGGTTCTGAACGGCACTTAGTTGTCGGAACTGACAAGTGTCGCAGACCTGGCCGATCTCGAACACTTTATAAACAAATACAATACTTTATTTGAGTACATAAGAAATTGTCTCATATGAGAAACGAAATCACAAAATTATTTTCTGATACCTGCGATTCTAGTCCACGATCATCAACATATGTAGCTGAATAAAATCATTATAATTCCGAAAAACTAAAAACACAGTTCATTGTACTTTAAAAATTATTAAATTTTTATATGATAATAATTAAAAGTATTCTTAAAGTACAACCTGGCATAGTGACCTGATCGTCTTCCCCGGTTATAACTTCCAAATCTAAAAAAAAAAAATGTTTTAATACACTGACTTATTTATACCTATTTTCAAATGTAATCAATTGTAGACTAATTGAATGGTAAGTATCTAATAGGCCATACTCAAATGGTTGGATTATCACTTTAACTAACCGGGTGCAGTGATTCATATAACCTAATGATTAATATCTTAGGTGCGTATCTAGTTTACAAAAAAGACGAAAATGGATTTAAAGATTTTTATATACATATCTCAATTTCGGACACCAACAAGAAGGCAATTCTACAAGAGTCGTCATCAATTAAGTTTATTCTGGTTATTTTAAACAGAATCTCCTACAGCTGCGTACCTGTTTGATTCTTGTAATAAATACAGAAAATTCTGTTGGGTAAAGTAAGCCTATCCTATCCCATAAGATTGCGATGTTTTTTTTAAACATAATTTCTTACATCTGCGTACCTGCATGATTCTAGTAATAAGTCCAAAAAATTATGTTGTAAAAATTACAGAAATATACGAAATTATGTTTTGATTCACAAAATAGCAATATTTATTTCTAAGCAAGTTTAGATCTTACAAACACCGTTTAAAATACTGATTGATTTAATTCGCTACTGAAGCTTAGATAGCATGCTTCGTTGGGAGAAGGGAGCTGCTTTTAGTCCTCTGTAAAAACAAGCGACTCCGAGATGTTTGATAAATACCCTACAGGATACTAATTGATTTCATTTGCTACTGAAGCTTAGATAGTTGATCTTCTTTGGGAGAAGAGAGTCGCTCTTAGTCATCTGTGAAAACAAGCGATTCCGAGATCTTTGATAAATACCCTAAAGGATACTAATTGATTTCATTTGCTATTGAAGCTTAGATAGTTGATCTAGTTGAGACGGCTCCCTTCTTAGTCCCTTCTCTTAGTCATCTGTGAAAACAAGCGACCCCGAACTTCTGGATCATAATGAAACTCCAATTATCATAGCTATCGTCAGCTAACCATCGCTATTATTTCAAAAAGTACATTTGACCACGATTAAAATTTATTTTACTGTGCCTTTACTTTACACTACTAAATATTAAAACACTTTTTAAACAATTTTATTAAACGTTCGCATTCAAAGATTGTTCAGCGCTATAACGTACTGCATGCATTTTGTTTAATAACTCTTTATAGTATTTTCAGAACATTAATGTACTAACAATCACTTTTATTAATTAATGTAGTTTTATATATAAGAATAATTTTCTAAGTATTTAAAATTTAAATTTTTTGTATATTTATTGAATTTATATTTAATGTGTAAAATTATAATTGGAATTGAAATTATTTATATGTTTACAAATAATCTTTTTAAATATGAGTGCACATTTTTTAAATTATATTAAAAGCAATATAATTAATCTTTTCATACTTATTTATATATAAATTCCTACTGCTAATAACAAAAATACCACACCGACGCCCAGAAAAACAGAAGCACAGAAACTTATTAAGAGCTCTTTAAACAGAGTTTTTTCTTTTGAATTTTTAGGGCGTGAGACAACGAAAATAAAGAACCATGCTGTAAAAAATGTTCCAATGCTTAGTAGAACTAATGCTGAATGCGGATAAACAGCGGGATTTATCGGTGAGACATAGCGTTGCATTGTATCCATTCTGCAAAAAAAAAAAAATCAGATTCGTAATTCATCGTTCATCTCTCAATTTTTTCGTTGCAAATTTGAACAAACAAGAGCAATCACTTTTAAATAAACAATATACATTTATTTTATTTACCTATTAAATTTTGTTTTAATTGATAATAATAAATAAATCTACGTGGCCCGGCAATGTGAACTACTAGTAGTCTTGACACTTTTGACAACTTATCAATTTGTTAAACGAAGAACCATGGCAGAGTTATTAGATTTGCCAACTAACATCAATGATAGATACGAAACGTATTAGACAGGTATGTGTCGTAGCAAACTATTTTTAACGTTACGTTTTTAGTACAACGATTTACCAAAATATGTTTAAAAATCTTTGATTTTATACCGCGAAATTTTCTTGTTTTTTCTCAGGGCATATGAATGTAGAACTCATTTTAGTTAGATATTACTTACTAATTACTCTACTTTTGTCTAATGACGTATCTAGCTTGAAATAGCATTTATTTTAACAAATTGTTACTTTATTAAGTCCTTGGGCATGTTTACGCCGGCCTTCAGAGAGACAAATATATTCAAAGCTTCGAAATTATAGTTGTCAACAATAATATATTTTCCAATATGCTACAGAAAGCACTTTTTGTTTTGTTTTTATTTCTTTCACTTTTATTTGAAATTAAATTGCCTTTCGCTTTTTAGGGTTTGAATAACAGCTAACAGTTGACAATAACTATAATGTACTCAATTTTAAATATTAAAATTAAAATTTAATTTTTAAATATATTATAAGACTCGCATAAACAAAGCATCTGTTATAAATTTGGACGTTACATCAATAGCATTTAACATTCCATAATTAATTTTGTAGAAAGGTTTCGAAAAATAGCGAACTACAAAAACAAAAATTATTTTTTAGTTCACTACTTTTCGAAACCGTCTATCAAATATGCTAATTTTTATTAAATATAATAGTCAATTTCATCATAACTGCTGTTAAATTACAACTTATATAATTCATTTTGTACAATTTCTTCATGTATATAATCAACATCTGCATTATGTTGAGCCTAGTTGAGTCAATGCGCTTGATAACTTTTACTCTTTATTAACTGCCTCCCAGTTTCTTCATAACTCCTCTACGCCTTGACTGGATTATAGTTTACCAATTCTTCAGGCCTCAGAGCTGCATATGTCTACATACATCACATTTTATTTAATACAACAGTATTGTTCTAAAAATCTCAATTATCATTGTTTTACATTTTTAAAGTCATTGAATATGTCAATATATATAGTTGGCAACGCTATTCCTAATGTAACCACATTCTTTCATGAAGAAAAACAAAGCAGTTGGGATGTAAAAATATAAAAATTTTGTAAAATAACTATTGGATATGGAGGAAATAGAAAATGATGACCTGGATGAACTGGAAGCACATCTGTATGCACAAATCCATCATGATTCAGTCGACACAAATGATAAACTCTCCGAACAACCATCAATAAATCAATCGCAATTTCAAGATGAAACTCAACAGGACCGCCATGAGATCGAGTCAACTAAAGCAGTCGGTGATCAAACAAACGATATAAATCTAATAAAAAATAACACGAGCTCAGTTGAAGAAACAAACGCATTTACAAATAAAAATTTCACAAAAGAACCAACAGTACAAGCGTCTTGTAGTGCTAATGCAGGTATGTTTAATAAATGAAATATTGTTGATTAAATGTTATAATGAAAAATTTTTAATAAAATTAGATACATTACCTACTAATACTACATTAGTAAACAAAAATGTTGATGTTGGACCTTCAACACCTGTTACGGGGGCCTCACAATTTCATACTGACAAATCCAAAAATCAAAAAAAGCGTGAAGCGAACACAAATGCTAATAAAAATAAGAAACAAAAAAATAAAAGTAATCAAACTACTTTACATAAAGAAGGTATACGCATGAATCCAGCCGCAGCTTTAAATCATAAAGGTCGAGAACATAAATTGAATGCCAATAAAAAAAGTGGCATTAAAGAAATTCTGCAGAAAGGCCCGTTTGCTCAACAATCTCAAAAGTTATCCAAAGCCAAACGACTTGCAACCAAAAAACAAAAATCTACAGAAGTGCAAAACAAACGGAATCGTTTGGTTATAAATGAAACAATTAATTTGACTTTATCAGATGAAAGTACTGATAATGACGATATTGAAATTGTACCATTGCCAGAACCACAAGTTTTAGTTATTGAAGACAGTGACGATGATAAAAATAGAGCAGATGTGAAACAAAATATAACCATGCTGGAAGAAAATGCAGTTGATGCTGCTGATGTTGATATAAAAAATGTAACGATTATTGAAAGCAAAATCGAAAGAGATATAAAAAAAGATATTCCTGAAAGTCATACAGAAATGCATTCCTCCAGACCAAATTCTCCATGCTCAGTGCAGTCATTTGACGATTTTATTGGTAAAAGAAACCGAAATGAAGCTATAAGGAGGAAATCAGAACAAGCTGATGATGTTGACGTGTTGATATTAACAGCCGAAGATGATAGCATGCTGGATGCCGCAAGCTCAAACAAACAGACAGATTTACCAGAAAGCGAAGTAGTCGAAGTAAATGAGAATTCACATTCTGTCGAGGATAGTAGTGCTTTGAATGAATTTCGTATACCAAATCAAACCACCCGCCAACGAAATACATTTTGCGTTAAAGAAAAAGAGTTTAGAGCCACTGATATATATGAAAGTGAATCGGATATAAACGACAGTGTTTACTCCAAAGGCTTACCAAAACAAACCATAATACGTAACATAGACAGTCGCTCAAGTGAAGATAGTGATGATGACGTTGTAGATATAACAGAAATAGATGTTAATCCAAAAATTAAAAGATTACGAAAAAGACGCGCAAGTAGTAATAAAGATTCAGAACCAAATAATGATGATAGCACCGATACTGATGAACACGAAAATGAGGGTGTTGTGAAAACATCTGTTCCTGGTATAGTACGTGGGCCAGCTGTTGAACGTAGTATTACGAAACTCATAAAAAATCCTTGCAACACTGCATCTCGTAAAAGAAATAAACGCGCTAAAAATGATAATGCATTTATGCAAACTTTAAATAATTTAGCACAAGGAGAAGAAGAGTTAGTAGAAAATGAGGACAGCAATGAAGCTATTACAGCACGTGATATTGCCGAAAAAGTTTTACAAGTTGAACGCGGAACATTAAGAGAAAGTGTACAAGATACAATTGATAATGATGATGATGATGATGATGATGATGTAGTCATGCATACAGTTTCCTCTACAGATGATGAAGCAATACCTGATGAAGATGGTTTAAAAAAGTTTGAAAAAATATTTCAAACCATTGATAACATGAATTATACAGAAGAAAGAGAAGTACTGAATGAAACGGTTTTTATAAATAGTGACCATGAGGAAATGGAGACTTCTTTACCTGTTGAAGATTTAATGGCAATGCCATCAACACGAAGGAGACCAATGGATGCAGGTTCCAACAATCAAAATGTCAGTGCTAAACGGAAAATTAAATACTTTGTAACTGATACGGATACTACACGTATGTGGCCAATAGATATGTTTAAATTTTATAATTCCTCATGGAATGGTGAAAAATTCAATGTTAATGAAATACGTGCACGTATGAATCGTAAGTATTACAAATAATGTTTAATTTGTAAAATTTAAATGTAATGAATGTATATATAAATTTAGCTAACGTGGCTGATTGGAAAATCTGTAGCCTTGATCGGTTTCCTCATGGTCGTCCAATAACAAAAAAGTTGAAGTGTTACAATTGTTGTGAATTCGGACACACAAAGCAACATTGCAAACGACCTAGAAAAGCGCTTGTTTGTAGTATGTGTGGAGAGAGTGGGCATAGGGAACCACGTTGTCCAAACACTGTTTGTTTGAGGGTCAGTATTCAAGTTAACCAATTAATATTTTATGTTATTTGCATAATTATAATTTTAAATTGAATGATAATAAGTCTGTTCCACGAGCAACTTGTGATAAAACTCAAGTAAAACACCAGTAAAGTACAAACTGAGAGCGTAACACAAATAAAGTGCCATATTACGCTCTTTACACAGATTTTTATGGAACAGCTTTGTGTAAAATCTGGTGCAACCACCAGTGCCGCGCAAATAACAATACAAAAATTTAAATTCAAACCAAAAACAGCTGATTCACACATCAACACAAATTTTACTTGAAATAAAATGTACGTGTAAAATCTGTGTAGTATTTTCAAATTTCGAGAGGATGTTACGCTCTCACAGATGCTCTCACAGTGTTACTCAAAGTTACTACGAGTACCTCGTGGAACAGACCTATTATGTGTTTCAAAGATATTGATATCGATTCTTTGAAAACACATTTAATATTTTAGATAGTTGAGAAATACTGACAAAGTATATTAGAAAATATAATATTAAAAATTATAATTTATATTTTATTAATAAAATGAATAATATTATGTGTTCCAAAGATATTAATAACGATTCTTTAAAAACACATTTAATATTTAAGACAGTTAAGAAATACTGACAAAGTATATTAGAAAATATAATATTAAAAATATTAATTTTCTTAATACATAGTATATTTAAAATACTGGATTTCTGTTTTTCTGAACTTCAATGTATTTCAATGTTCTTTTTATAATCTGTAAAAGTTTATGTGACCAATCAATAAATTATATCGCCAACGTTTCTAAGTAGCTTGACTTTCTCGTCAATTTTTAAAACAATGCAATTCAACATAACGTTTATTGTATGTTTTTTGAATAGATTCCCAATATTCACAATATCTGAATTTATTTCTCTCTAGTGTACAAAATGACTCAGATTCGATTAATTGTTGTTGGTCACCTTTTGTCCTTCATTATCTGGAACGCTCCATATAATAACACATTTTTTGTACAATTTCATTAAAGCAATTGTTCAACATACCTGAATGCATTTTGATAGAATTTATTTTATTATAATACTAAATATAATAAAAGTATAAATAGTTATACTACATGTTTATATATGTACACGTGTGAATATTTTAAATACATATTTTTATTACCAAAATTTTTTTTTTCTATAGTGTGGAAATAAAACTCTTGCTTTTGTTAAAAATTGTAATGCATGTACATTCCATGACCGTTTAACTTGCCCTTTATGCAAAGTCCGTGGCCATATATTAGATAATTGCCCTGATAATTGGAGGCGTTATCATTCAACAGTAAGTATAAATATACCATCACTTGTAAGACTTTATTCATATTTTATTTATTTATAATATAGACAAAATCTGATGTAGCACCGGAAAGTCATATTGTATATAATAAAAAGTTATGTTGCTGTGTTTGCGGTCGACGTGGTCATTTATCGGATACTTGCGCATATCAAAAGCTCATGGAGTATCCACTCATTTTAAGTAAAATTAAGAGTCATACAAAATCATATACCAATCTGTCCGTCAGCCGTGGAAATTCTCCTATTAAATTACGTCTTCTATACAATCCAGAAGTATGTGTCAGTTTTAAATTTTTAATTAAAACTATGGAGAATAGTTCTTATGCACGGTTCTTAAGTGTTGTTGGATTGAAGTACATGATGCAGAAAAAACGTCGTTCTATAAATGTTATTTCTGATATAAAAATTAAAAAAGCTAGAAAAAGTGTGACAGAACCCGATCAAGTAAGTTTTAATTTTGAAATTAACATAAAATATATGTACCTATATATTTTATCATATTATCTGCTCTAAATATACTGATTTTATATATTATCTGATAAGTATATATCATATTTCTAAAACATATACACACATTTATTCCAATATATAAAGCTTTTTTGTGGGTAGAAAGAATAACAATGATCGCATATAGCACCCCATACCATGTCTATTAGATGAAAATCATGTTGTGTTTGATGATATAATTAAAAACGAGAAGTCCTAACTTCGATTTTATAAAATCCATAAAACATTATTAGGACCACCTTGTTAATTTGATTTTAAAAACTTTACTGCATGAAAGATCGTCATAGAAATTGACATGAGTCTATAGTGTCTATAGTAATACCAATGTAAAAAAAATAGTTATACTATGTTCAGACACACCTTAATTTCGCAAAAATCTTGATTTCGTCTTCGTTTCAGCAAAATTAAGCTGTTTAGTTAGAACGAAATTAAGGAAAATGCCCTTAATTTCGTTGTAACAAGGTCTGAAAATAAGGGACATTTCAAAAGCAACTACGCGAAAGACAAATTTTAAGCAAAAGATAAAGTTAAGATAACGAAAAAATGACATTGTTTTTAAATAAAGTTGACTTAAAAAAACCGGGAAAATATTTTGAAACTAGTGCAAATTTTTATATTTGAATATTGAGATAAATTGTAACTGTTATTAATTTAAAATAGAGTGAAAAATAATAAATCACATACCTGAAATCCACTAGAGCTAATAAAAATACAGAATGCCATCCTCTATAGTTATAATTATTAACTTTTAGAATTTTCCAGACACAAATGCTGCTTTTAAAAAACATATGATTTCCTTAATTTGGGGCAGTATGAAGGCATTCGAAATTAACTTAATTGCATTTTTACGAAATTAAGGAAATTTGGCTTTCAGAACATAGTATTACGATATATATCACAAATTAATGTAGTATACATTTTACGTTTATTTATGTTATAAAATTTTGTTTAACTTATTATATTTTATTTAATTGATTAAGATTTGTTTAATTTATTAAATTTTGTTTAATTTATTAAATTTTGTTTAATTTATTAAATTTTGTTATTAAATATTTTTATTATTTTTTCCCCTAGGTACAAGAAGTTAGTGAAAGCACTATATCTACAACGCAAAATATCAATATTAATGATGATGCGATGGATGAATCTGTGGAGGCAAATGAATCACTTTTACTGGAGGATAGAGAAAATACAGTAAAAGAATTACCACAATATATAGGAAGTACACAACCAATGACGCCAGTAGGTGATTCTGATTCCAACTATAGCTTTTCGGAACATTTTGCAATTGATAAAGAAACTCGAGCTGATGGTCCAAGCTCATCAAAAGTGCAAAACTCCCATAAAAAATCTCGATCAACGGCTGAATTTCTACCAGAATTTGTTCCACTCAATACTAGCTCAACAAACGGCCAAAAAAAATCACTTCAAATGGAAAGTTCACCAGATTTCATATCATTTAATACGCCCACTACAACTAAGCATAATCAATCTGAAAAGTTTTTACCACCATCAGGTTTATTAAAAATGAATCGCTATTTTTCCATTTCAAATACACCAACAAGTACTCCGAATACACCAGAAATTGCATTTGAAGAAGAACGTCCTACTGAAGCAATGATATGTATACCTAAAGAGCTCGTTAAATATTTTGAATCCACAGATGGTTGCAATTTTCTCGAAGAAAAATCCAAGATATACGATACACGTGTCAATATACGAAATTCTTCTGCTGGTAAAATGCTCTACATCTTTGGGTTATCTGCTAACCAGAAAAGCTTTCATAATGATATCTTAGACAAATTTAGTGAAGTTGAATTGAATAATGAAATGAATAAGCGCACTGAAAATATGCCGAAGGTACCGAAGCGGATTGATGTCTTAATAAGATTTCTGCGCGAACATATAAATCAACTGCTGCAAAAACTGGGTAATGTCAATGATTTGTTAAATCGTATGAATTATCATGAAAATTTAAGATCCAAGAACGGTTATAAGATGGCTGAGAAGGAAAGACGTTTATTGAATATGATTTTAATAGGTCAAGCAGGCCTAGAAAATGGTACCCATCATTTGGATAAATTAATATTTATTTTGAAACAACTATTAAATGATTTTAATGGCGATCAAAATGTACCCAACGGATTACGTTATGAGATTGATGAGCATTGGAAATTTATATTTACATCCTACCGACACAATGACTACAAGCATTTAGTAAGGCAATATAATAGCCTTTTATCGAAAAATCGTATGCATAATATCAACATTGATCCCGTCTTACTGGGAAATTCATCATTGGATATGGACCTTACGAAACAACAAAAAGATCGAATGGAACAAATAAGACATCAAGAGTCTACAATATCTAGCAAGAGTTCGAAATCGAATTCTCCAAATTATGTACCAAATCCGTTTCATAAGAATCTTAGAAATGTTTCTTATAGAAATTCTGGTAACTCATCAAACCCAGAAATAAATATATCCCTTAACATAACTAATAAGAAAGTTAATGCAACACCTAATAAAAACAAATCAGATTCTGGAACCCTCACGCAATTGAAAAAACAAGTTTCTTTAACTCCGCCGTTTAAAAATCCTCAACAAAAATCATCTGTTGGTAGAATTATCCAAAACGTAACAAATAAAGAGAGTATTTGTGATAATCTTTTATCTGAGATTTCAACAGAAAGTACACAACAAACAACTTCGAATCAAAAACGTTTACTTAATGCAACAGCGGCATCTATGTTTTGGTCTCGTGAGGCCTTGAAATATATAGACAATTGCTTAGTCCTGGCTGAAATGAATACTGAGCTACTGACTAAATTAAAACTTATTCAGTATAAATCTCAAACTGGCGGTCTCTCTTATAACGACTATCGTGCAGTTATTAAGCTACATTCTGCTATGACCGATGGCGCGTAATTTTCTGGAGAGAAGCACCAAGGTAATTTAATGAGAGTTCAATGCTTAGCATACCCAAAATTTTTGTACAAAGTTTTGTACTGTGAAATTAATTTAATTTTTTCATTTTCTTTTTCTTTTCTTTTCATTTTTTCTTTTTTTATTTCATTTTTTTTTCTTTATTTCATTTTACTTTTTTAGTTTCTTTTTCTTTTCTTAAAAATAAAATAGTAACTATATTATATAAAAATCTGTCTTATTAATCTATTCAAAAATTAAATGTTATAACACTAAGGTCAGAGATATTTATAGACATTTATTGTCTTGAACTTGTATTTCCATTTCAAAGTTGTTAACTTGTGCCTTTTAATTATTCCGTGCCGTTAGCTGTCACGTTGACTGTTTCTTCATTTCTTTCAAGTTTTTGATACTCTAGTCGGTGCTTAGACCGTTATTAATTTTAACATATATATCTGAGTTCAATGGACAATATAATTGAAATCAACTTTTGTCCAGCCGCAGAAATCTGACCAATTCAAGACGATGAGTCCAAAGGTAATTTGTATGCGTAGAGGGACAAGACAGGGTTCCAAGAGCGGCCGGATCTATTTTAGAGCCACTCGTCGAAGACGAGCAAGTGCCGTTTGACATCCCCGAAAAAGATCACACAAGAAGGTATATGTTTGTTTCACATATATCGTGTATGTGTGCAACCAAACGCCAAAAGAATAGAACATTAATTTAATATTGTTTTTAAAAATGAGTCGGAATAACTAACCTAATAAACCTTAATTTCACAAATATCTTAATTTCATATACGTTTCAACGAAATTAAATTGTTTTAAACATACAAAATTCAGTTTTGACGTTAGAACGAAATTAAGGAAAATGGCATTAATTTCGTTAAAACGAAGGCTGAAATTAAGGAATATTTCAAATGCAACTATGCGTAAGATAAGATTTAAACAAAAGATAAAGTTAGGTAACGAAAGAATGATGTTTTTTTTTAAATAAATGTGACAGTTGACTTTAATAAAACTGGGAAAAAATAGTGTAAATTAGTAAATTAAATTAAATTAAATGTGTAGTAAATTAGTAAATTAAAATTAGTAATTAGTAAATTAGTAGTATAAATTTTTACATATGAATATAGAGAAAAAACTGTAACTCTTATTAATTTAAAATAGAGTGAAAAATAATAATAATATCTGAAATTCACTAAAGCTAATAAAACTACTGAATGCCGTCCTTTATAGTTATAATAATCAACTTTTAAAATTTCCCAGATATAAATGGTGTTTTTGTTTCGAATGTAATTTTTAATATTCGTTTTGTAAACAAAAACATATGATTTCCTTAATGTGGGGCAGTGTGAACACTTTTGAAATTAATTTAATTTCATTTTTACAAAATTAAGGAAATTTGGCTGTCTGAACATAGTATAAATGTTTTAGACGTTATTATAATGCTCTGTAGTGAAACTACAAAGTAAAATGTGTTAATTATATATTATAAAATATTCATATGATGCGCTGAAGAGTGCCGGCATTAAATGGTTACACTTAAGTTTTTTAATAAACTAAACAAAAAAGTTCATGTGGCAAGATTTTCTTTAAATGTCAGATATAAAAATATATAAAAAGCCTTTAGAAAAAAATATGGCAACACTATTTTATCTTTTAGTTCTTAACGCGACGAAAAAGGAGACAGATTCGGAGACATTTTTTAATAATTTGTGTGAAAATATTAGTGAAATTTTTATGAAAATTAATGAAGACTTCTTCAAAAATAATTGAGGAAATAACGAATATAAAAATTGTGTACTGCTGACTGATAAGTGAATAATTAAAACAAATTCATAAAATCATATATATGAGAAAAAAATAAAACAAAAACAATCAGCACTAAAAGTGCGAAAAAGAAGGCAATATAACAAATTGCATTTGAGCAGTTTTGTATTGTGCACCGCCTACCAGGTTTGAGTTTGAGTGAAATTGTAGGCTAATATATTTTGTTCAGTAAGCTGCCACCCTCAGTGATTAATTTGTTGTATTTGTTGGGTGGTTGCTGTGTAATGTAGATAAATTATATATTCTTTTGGTATATCTTGCAAATTTGAAATTAACAAATTTTGGAAAAGTAAACAATAATAATAATATTAAATTATTAATTAAATCATGAATTAAAATCATAATGTTTCTTAATATATGTCATTTTTTTTACTCTTGCAAGGAATTTTTTTTTGAGTAGTGAAAAATAGCTCGTTTGGGTGGCAGCACTAAAATTTGTTTGTTGTTTGAGACAGCGCTGCTGCAGCAATTCATGCACAGACAGTAAATAATGTAAAGAGGAAGAACAATGTATGAAAAAGTGTGTATTACGGAAAAACGATAAACATAAAAAAGTACGATTTACAGCAAGCAATTTAAGTGCAACTAAAAAAAGAAAGACTAATAAGAGAAGAAGAAAAATCAAATAAAAGATATAAAATCTTATTTTTAAATGACATAGAAATTAATTTGTGTTAGTTGTATTTATTGTGGCTCAGTTCACGCACCATATTATACTTTCAAACATCTAAGGACGAGCTGAACTGCAATTTACTAATCTACACTAATTCTTGTTAAATTTGTAAAAGAATTTAACAATTTTACAAAATATATATTATAAATTATAAATTACTAAAGAAACCACCGTTTGCAAAGAAAAGGGAAACACCGTGCAACAACAGTAACAAGGTGAGAAGGTGAGTGAAGCAAATTTTCAACTGAACAAGGCAAAAACCATTTGCAGCAAATGCAATATGTTTTCTTATACGATTTTTTTTTTTTATTTTTTTTGTAATTTTTGTATTGCATACGTAATTGCTTCTTCTGAACAATGAACGCAATAATTTTTGCTGAATAAAGTTAACGTTTTCCCGCATAATTTACGAAAAACCGTAAGATTTAATCACTGAGTATTTCCTAACTTATTCAGCTTGAGTAATTTTAATACGCTTGTCATGTGCGGGGTGGAGAAGCTGTTACGATAAAGAAATCACAATAGCTTTAATATATTGTATTGTGACCATGAGGCCTGTAAGCCCCACTACAACAATAGAAATATACTTAGAAAATGTTTTAAGCCCAACTTCAACTTCTGTTTAAACTTTATTCTTTATAACAAATGTATTGGCTGCTGATTTAGTATCTAAAACTAATAGTTTTAATAATAGCAAGTAATAGTTTGATATATTGTTAACCAGGGCTATCCAAAGCACGGCCTGCGGGTCACTTGCGGCCCGCAGCTAATGTATGTGCGACCAGCGATGTGTTTTTAATCTACTACAATTACACAAATTTTCTTTTGGTGCACACGTAAAACCACATTATGTTATTTTTATGGTATACCAAATAAATGAAGTTAAATTAATAAAACTAAATTTAACATTATAAAAGAATTTTTATTTTTGTCGAAAACAACTATGAACGTATATATTTGTTTCTTCGGCCCTTCAATCTGTACCGTGATTTATATTGGCCCGCGATCACATCTGGTCTGGACAGCCATGTTGTAAATAATAACAACTCCTAGTGAGATAAATTAAAACACATTGCTTTATTAGTTGATAATAGACTCCGATCCCTGTCATTAGAGAACATTTTTCATTTTTACTCTTTAATATTCATATTAAGACTGTGAAACGCATAAAGTTAAGCTTTACGTCGGTTTACAGCTCTGATCTATACTAGAGCAGGACGACAGTATTTTAGTCTACGTTTTCGTTTTATTAATTTACTCTTCTTAAGTAATTCATTCACAAATGGTTACTTTTCAATTAAATGTATTATATTAAAAATAAATAAATAAGAAACGGAACTTATCTACGCACCTAAAATATAGCAAGCTTACCAGATAATTGGCACCTAAAAAATTAAACTGAATATTAAAAACAGTGCACGCTCAGTATTCGCGACTACCCATTATTGCGACGGCCCCGTTATTGCGACAGCCTAATTTTTAGCATTGCAGGTTGGTTCTACAATGGGGACAGTAGAGAAAAAAAAAATTTTATTTTCGCGACTTTTAGGTTTTTCTTCAATTGTAATATGTAGGTATATCTACTTCTCTGGTTTGATTGCAATATGCCACACTTTTTATCTTAAAATAAGCAGAAATCTTTTATATGGAAAATAACAAAGAGAATTTTGGACTTTAATTTTATATTTCTTTATGTCTGGTGTAGTGTTTGCAGTGAATTATATCCGTAGAAAGTGATGAGGAGCAAATAGAATTATCAGAAACGAAAACGAAGGATTCATATGACAGTGGTCATGAAGAAAATAAAACTAAGGTAGACGAAGCTATTACATCGATTAAGATATGCATAAAATGGGCTTTGGAAAATGACAACCCAGTATATGAAGTACGTGATTCCGCCGCTATTTTAAAAATAATTTGCCAAAAAAGCAAATTAAAATCTCTAACTTTTTTAAAAGTATTTAACCGAGCGTGTACTGTATTATTCTTCTTTATCTACTGTAAAGTTCATATCCCAGCTTCCTTGTTCTGATATAAATGATATTCTGTTAGAATTTGATTTTATAGCGTGAAATATGTAGTAAGACTCAGATATCAGATATTGATAAAGATCGATAGGAGAACTAAATAGATGAAACATTTCTGTCTTGTTATGATAATACCGCGACAATTTATGTGTCGTTTAGTGACTTCACTTTATTCTTGCTGAAAATATTTGTAAAGGCAAGTAGGTTGTTGGATGAGTAAATTGTGTTTTCAAATATTATTTCTATATGGGACATGTTAAGTCTACATCACATGGTAGTGGGCACGGAAAAATTGACTCTTTCGGGCTATGCCGAAAATTTATGTTATGTAGAGTGTCACATCAGTATTGCCGATTTCGTAATTTTACAATGTTTTGGTACTTTTTAGTTGTGCCTAAATTTAAAAGGAAATGTAGATATGCTCACATTTAATATGCCAAATATAGCCAGCAAGAAAAAACTTATAGAAACTGTAATAATGTTAATATATTATTATATTATCTTATAATAATTGTTAACATTACTTACAAAATTATACGCCTTTCCTTAAAATCTGAAAGTGTAATAATTACTCCATTTATGTTTACTCCATTTTTTCTCCAAAACGTACTGAAATTGGAATTATTTCCTCCTAAAATTCTCAAATTCTGAAATTTATTACTAAACAACACTGTTTTGCCTTAGTGCCGGAACACAAATGCGCCGCCGACTCTCATGCCGGAATTTGAACCGACATATTGTTTTTTCTCTCAGTCTTAATATTATAATTTGCATTGAAAACCACAACAATTTTACCCATGCCCGAGACACTACATAATGCGGCTCTAATAAAACTGCCAAAGCAGATAATAAGGAGAGCAAAAAAAAATATATTGCCACATTTTCACTAAAAAAAAACCATTGCTTCTATACAAAATACAGTTTTAACTATTCTGATTCAAATAACGAATACGATAAAGAGAGTAAACGAGCAAAGCAAAGAAAAATACTGAGAAATTGAGAGAAAAAATGAACACATACACCATAGAAAGAAAGAAATAATGACAGAAAGGTTTTTTTTGATTTGGTGTGAAGTTCATTTTCACTTTTCTTCACTGAAAATTAAAAGTTTAATTTCATTTCCATTTAAACGTTGTTAGTTGTATTTAAAAAGGATATATATATATTTCCTTAATTGCTTTCCGATTCCGTTCAAGTGTTTAACAGAAGTGTTAAATTTATATGCATATAATTCATGTATAATGGGTGGACCTGTGAGCGAAGCGGCATGAAAGTTTTGCAGATGGTAAAAATATTAAGCGTTATCCAGTAAGTATTCTTTTCATGATTGTTTTCGTTATTCTCATATATTTGTCTTTCACTGCAACAAAAATTGCATTCAATTATAACCAATTATAGATTATATATATATATCAAATATATTTAACATTATATGTTATATTTAACATCATATATGAGATACGAAAAATTTATTCACATTGATGTGAGTGGTCAAGAGTTCTAACAATAGCTGTTGTAACTCTATGCTCAAGTATAGTGCTTTTACACCATAAGCATTACATTTGAATTCCACCAGATACAATTTTTCCCAGAAAAACAGGCACAAATCTTTTTGCGCTTTTAAATATTAATATCAGGCCATTAAGCGACATATAGACACATAGCCGTGTAGCAGTTTAACATTGATTGCAGTTCTGTATGTATGTATATATAGTTAATTAGTTTTTTGCTTAATACAATAGATCACATTAGTCGCAATAAGATAACCCTTCAAATAGTGCCCTTTACACAATATATAATCTTATTTTTAGGTTTCATATCAACATTAAAGTAAAATAATGATTAGTATTGTTACATTCGTATACGTGTTTCTACCTTACTGGAAGTAGTCTTAACATTAGACAGTCTACAATGAGCAATTAATCAGATTATTGATTGTAGAGCACAGCAGTTCAGCAAATTGGAAAAATAGAAAATCACTAAATCTACATGATCTTATCTCAATTTACTTATATTCTGTGTGTTCTCATATCTAATAGTAGTACGTACTTTAGGTTTAGACATAATTATACATTTTGTGAGCATGATTCTGCTAGAAATTTTAAATATTTCTCTATTGTTTGTTCATATTTATATATCTTCCTTAATAGTACCGTCGGTATTAGGCATACTTTGGAAGTATTGAACTATTTTTGCATATATATGGTAGAGGTACTATTATTGAAAGACTCTTATCGTCTATTGAGGAAATTGCCGCAAATATTATATTTATGATTTATTTATTTATGATTTATAATTGTTTTTTTCAAAATTCTTAAGGTTGTGTTCATTAACATTACATTTGTTAAAAACTGTTTTTTTAGTAAAATCTTTGTTAAGATTTATTCCTATGCCATATGGAGATATATTCAGTGAAGTATAGATATTTTGACTTTAGTATTTAAACTTGACTGGGAGTTAGTTTGATCTTTAGTTTTTGTTTCATTTTTATTGGGCTCCTTTAAGTATTACCATTAAATTTTAACCTAATGTTAGTATTTATGATGTAACTAAATTGCAATGACTCACTGATGATATATGATTTTCTTTATTTATATAGTAATTAATTGCAACTTTTCTTTATATTTAAAGGGCGGTGAATATACAAAAACAATTAACCACCAAAAAATGTTCAGATTCGCTAAGCTTGTTTAATATAATTTGCTTAATTTATTAAATTAAATTGAAAACACTCTTTTCATATTATGTTAATAGTGTTTTGCCAACAATAGATGTTTTGACCGCTATATAAGAATGCTTCTACGAGTAATTGTTATAGTTTTGCTTGATGAAGATAAACTAAATATATTCTGTAATATAGCGGTTTTGAGTGTGTCATATATATTCTTCTATAATTTATATGTTTTCTGAAATAGAACAGTAGCATGTCTTTAGATTAATAAAATTATACTTACATGTAATCTGCAATCTGTAATCTGTATTATTGTCTTTATAGTGAGATTTTTTAGAGAAATCTGATCTAAACTGTATCCAATTTAGGTTAACGGCCGTTAATATAGTTCAACATAGGTCAACAATCAAAATAGGTCAATGTCAAATTTTGTTGAATAAACTTAAATTTAAGGAAAAGTCTTTTATTTAATTAATTGTATTTGGACACGTAATATATTTTTCAGTCACAATTTAATTTTTTTTTAAATATTAATGTTCAAGTTGTTCAAGTTTTACACATAGCTTATTTATAAATACATATACGAAAAAAAATCAAAATTCAATTCTTCAAAAAAATGCTGAAAATATTAAATTAACCATATCAGCAAGTTTATTACCTGAGTGACTTAATTTATTAGTGAATAATTTTGCTGAAGTATAAATTGCGTAATATACCTTACCAATGCACTTCTGCTAGTCCAACCTCTCTCTAATGATTGCATTTAATTACGAAATATTAATAACAAAATCAAACTAAAATTTAATAAGTTCAATTCTTAGATCCTTCACGTTATCATTACTTTGTTTTTTTTTTTTTATAACTATTTTCATTTATAATAGGCTTTAGTTGTACGCACCAGCATCTCCTATCGAGTCTAAATATAGCGTATAACTTTTCTCCCCAGATTCAATAATATTTAATATTATATATGTATATAATATATTGTTGTTAAATTAATTCTAACTTGTAAAGTTTTAAAAGTATGAAGGATCTAGATAGAGATAGATATGTTTATCGTTATTTTGTATAAAATGTAGTCGTTATCATATACATTTAAAACGGCAGAGGCAATATATTTCTATAACTGCTTGAAATTGTTTCAACATTACTATATAAGAGCAAATCGAAATTAATTGACTTGGCGCAGTTGGATCTGGATCGTGTTGTTTTATACAAATATGTATAATTGAAAATTATACATGTAGTATAATTTTATCAAAATTTTCAAATTTTCGATCAGGTCGAATAATATTTAAATATCTATCTTTACTAGAAAATCACCCATACATACCATTACATTATACCGTCACCATTGCATATCCATATTGACAGCCAGTTCGTTGTAATAATTACAACTAATATGTATTTATGTACTTTTTTCTACCTACTATATAGTAGCTTATCATTAGTTCCGATGTTTTTCCTTTTGATATAGTTATACGGAGTATTTTGTTGAGTTAACTCTTATCACACTTAAGTTTGTCACAAACTATCTTGAATTGTGTATTACTGAATGTTATCTTAAAAAATATTTGTTGGCTCAGTACTTTGTTTCTTGATAAGGTTATATTTCACCAAAATAATATTAAATATATTACTTTTGAAATTACACTGAACTAATAATTAATCATTAGAATTATTCATAACAATGTTGATATATCATATGTGCTATAAGTTGTAGATTTAACTAGCGAAAGACATATTCATATTCGAAATTTAAAGGGTTAATATAGGTATGCTATTTGTGTTGAAGTTTTCAAAACCATTATAAAAAATTCATGATTTTATATTGTTTTATACGTAATATGAAAGTTTATATAAAAAATTGTTTTTATTTAATTTTTGTTTTTAATTAAATATAATTTATTACTTATTCAATGGTGTACTGACTGTCCAAAACATGCTCACTCAAAAACACCTCTAACCAGTTTCAATGTAAAACGTTTTCTTTTAATTAGCTTTTGGTTTCTATATGCAGAATTATTTGCTTAAATAATATATGTACACAATAATACCATATACAATATTATCTGAAATGAATGTATATTACTGCTATTAAATAATTTTATTGTACATGCATTTCTAAACTATGAATGTTTCTCTTTTAAAAACCAACATATTCTTATATGAACTTTTTTTCTAATCAATCAAGTGCGTAGGGTATGAGTTCATTAGTTTAATGAAATAATTAAAAAAGAAATTTTCTTTATACATATATTATATATGAAAGGGTTAGACTGAAGAGATAATAATTGTATTTGAAATCATTTACTTTAGTTCTGCTTTTTGTTAGTTTGATTCTTGACTGCATGTACCTGTTTTTCTGAGAATGTTAAAATAAATTTTATTTTAATGTTTAACTTTTTCTGTATAAATATAGTTTAATTGATAAAAAAAATTATTAACATAAGTTATCGATCTTATAGAATCGTAATTGATCACTTATTATAATTAAAGTTATAATAAGTGATCTTTTATTATCATTAAAATATAAAAAGTGATCTTATAATTAAAATTATAATAAGTGAACTCTCTCTCTCTATTTTTCTCATTCTCCCTCTCTCTCTCTCTTAACACAGATGTAAACGTCATTCTATACGCACAGAAATGCTTTGTATTATAAAATTTTGTTGTTTTTAGCCCATTTAATATATACCCAACTTGGGATGACTACTTTGTTATATTTATTTATTTTTACATGGACAATAGAGTTTTTTTTATGGAAATAATCGGGTCCTTTCTTTATTTGAATTTCTACGGTAAATAATTTGTCGATAACCATTCCAGCATATCGAAAGAAATGCTATATATACATATATTTCATATATACCTTTATATATTTTATATATTTTGATATATTTTATATACTTTTATATATTTCATATATTTTTATATCTTATATATATAATTCTTCTGTACGTGTGTTGACAGTGAACTCCTCCTAAACGGCTGAACCGATTTTGATGAAATTTTTTGTGTGTGTTCAAGTGGATTCAAGGAAGGTTTAGATTCACAATTTGGCCCACTGGATAATGTCTTTTTAATCAATTTTTTATTTTTTGGTATCCATATACATTTATATTAAAAATTTAAAATTTATTCATGCTTACTTTGATTTGTTTAAAAACTTTAAAATCTCTAAAATGAATTGTAAAACTGACGTTGCATAGCTTAAGTGCATTTAAATTCCGCAGCATAATTATAGGTGAGCCAATTTTTAATCTTAAGTTATGTGGTAGTATTCCTGGTAAATCCAGCGAATTCAAAAATTCAACACACAAAAAAGAAGAATTATATATATAAAGATATAAATATCGTACAAAAAACAATGGCACGTCTTCGTGGACGAGGAGGAAATATTGGTCGACGGACTCGGAATTCACAATTACTCCAGAACCGTCGGTTAAATAGATCGGCAGAAAACAATGAAGATGTAAGAAACCAGGATACAATTACACGTGCTAATGAAAGTCAAGAGCAACGCAACGAACGCCAGGAAAATTAATTGCAAGGGGAAACAACGTTCGCCGGGTCAGCTAGTATTATTATATATTTCTTTTATTAAGTTAATGTTAGTTATTTTAAAATGTCCAGAGGTTATAATTCAGGATGTCTAAAGTTTATAATTGATTTGATTATTGATATTATTTCTTATAAATAGTAGGAAGAACAAATTTTATAAATACTTTCCTAATACTTTTCGGAAATCATAAAAACTATTTAAAAAATATACATTTGAGATCAGTTAATTATTCAATTATTTTAAGTTATTTCATATAAACTATTATAGAAGTCGACCTTTTCAGCTTATATTATGGTGCATTTAAATCTAATATACTTGTTTACTACTCGTACAAAAGTAATATATACTTAATGTATTTTTGTTAACTTGCTGAAATCTCTACTAACGGACTTTTAATCTATGCATAAGTCGTTAATCCATTAACAATTATATTTGAATTTTTAATAGCTGCAGAAGTTTACTCTATTTAAATATAGAGTTGAACGAGCTTTAAAAAAAATTAGAGCAATAAAACATTATCTGTTGCGTTGGGTTAATGCAGTGATATTAGGGATGCACTAGTCGTTTTGCCAAACTGTAAAAATGGAAATACTTTAAAGTTATTTCAAATTTTTAACGAAAGGTCTTGCGTTTTCCTGTCGTAAATTATTATCATTATTTATCTCATACGTATATCCCTTTTCGTTTACTTCTTTCTCCACATGAACAGTCTTGTAGTCGTAGTTTGTAGATCTATAGTAATTTATAATATATGTAAAATCTTCTTATATTCATTTTAAGAGATACCGACGGTCCTTTCATGTTGTTTAAAATGGGTTTTTAAATTATTTACGTTTTGCAACTGTTAATGCTTTCTAGAACCTAATAAAATATAAAAAGTTCTATTGTTACTAATTCCACATAACATATTAGAAAAAAGTATGTTTACTTTTTTTATTTCATTATCATTTTTGACTTGAACTTGAACTATTTTTGACTTGACTTATATTAGAAACTATGAATTAAACCCTTGAAATAAAGCCAATACTGATCATAGTTTTGATCAATGCCGTCGGAAAGTTGTACTATTGAATAAATTCAATTCTTGGAGCATTTTTCTATCACGCGTATCTGGGTATATATTAAAAATATTATAGATTGGTTTTTTTCTTTTGGAAAGTCAGATTGATTCATTTTCTATTTAAATAGTAATGCTCAAACAATCATTGTAAGCAGCATTTAACCGTCGGTGACAAATGGTTTCGGGTTGTAGATTCATTTATTCATTTTTAACCAATTTTCAGTATTATTAAACATCTTTTAGTGATTTATGTTAATGTACTTATGAAGTAAAGTCGTACGCTCAGCAAATGTTGCTAGCATATTCTTACTATATAAGGAATAAAGTAAAATAGTAAGCAAAATATATCCTGTTATATCGGCTGGAATTGTTTGTATTAAACAACTGTATCCTTTGAATTTGGATATAATGGGTATAATAATTGGAACCATACTATTTTCATAATAAAAAATACTACTACATAATTTGGTGTCATGTCATGATTTTTTTGGAAAGAAGTTATGAATAGTCACATCTTACTAAAACTCAATTGAAATAAAAATGTTTAATCAGAAGATGCATTTAAAATGAGCATCATACCAGACTTCATATAGAGGAGAGGGAAGGAAATTCATTGTAGAAGACACATTTGGTCAGTAAATAATAATATTACTTGACCTATGTTAAGCATTACATATACAATAGGTCATGTATTAAGCACACCCATAAAATAATGCATCCTATATACCATTGTAACTAAACATTATGTTCATCATTCAATGAACATGAATCATTGGTCAAAAAAGTGTATTGATGCTAAAATTGATTATAAATTATATTAAAATGGGTTGTCAAAATCTTTGATCTAGATTTCAAATGGGAATAAAATTTTGTTTGCATTGATTGTTAATAGTTTTTTCATTGATAGAAATAGCACTTCATGATGACCCTATTAAAATGTAACTTATTGTGACTGTAATGATTTTTATTAAATCTACTATGGATTTAGCCATTAATTGAGAGTTTTCCTTATTTAAGAATCAATCTAACATAAAGTGAAATCTGTCACTGAAAATAATTTCATTTAAAAATAATTCATTTCCGTTTTTGGAGATGAATTTTGAACGAATACTGATTTTGACATAAATTTAAGCTGTGATTGATTACCATATAAAACATATATCTTATATTAAACTAGTTATATGCTTTCGGGAGTTTAGAGTTGAAAATTGTTTAAATATACAAGTCTTAAAGAACATTCAATTAATTTTATGTAGCCTTAGCAAGTCTATGAAAAATTTTAGTCATTTATTATAGAGATCTAATCTCAGATCGCGTGAGGTTGGTATTTATTAAATTTTTCTTCTATGAAAGTGACATTAGACAATATAATTTTAAAATCTTTATATCCAAAAAAAGAAAAAACCAGCTACTTTTAAACTACATTTGATTGCAGTTTGTGACAGGAAATGAAAACTGCTGGTGTGTTGGATTTTTCCATAGAATAGATAAAAAATATTGCTTTCGGGAAAAGAGCTGTCACTTTAATTTTCTATAAAGATTTGATTACTTTTCCATAGCATTCCAGATATTTTCTTAAATAATATACAAATGTATAAATATATTTTATTTTATATTCATTAATTATTAAAGAGAGAGTTCATGTTTCGAAAATTGTGTATCCTGGAGTTATTTTTCCAATTGTTAACACACGTCCGAGTAGTGCCACATACTGTGTCCGTAGATGAATAATTCTCAGCTCGTCAATTTAACTCGCACGTGTTTATTTTCTATAAAAACTTTGGGTGCAAATACCTAGTCGCGTACAAAAATATTGTATGAATGTTACATACGCACGATACGTTCATGTATTTCTGCGTATGGATTCCTAAGATGTATGTATCTATATATGCAATTGTGCACTATGGGGATTTTACTGAAAAAGCAAACCAATCAATTAAAATAAAAAACCAATTGGTTACGTGTTTTGCTAGTGACTAAAGTGTGGTTTTACAGCTAATAATGCATTCAATTACACGTAGATTGATAAGAAATAACTGAAAGAATTAATTAATGAAAATTTGATATACGGTTAAAACTGCAAGAGTGAATTTAAAAAAATGTGTAAATCAACACATCTCACATTATAAAACACATTATAAAAGTTTGTTGATGATCTCATAATGACAAGATTAGTTGGTGGGTTGGTTTCAGTGGCAGGTCATTAGTTAAATCCCATGTACCTCAATTACGGCGATTTTTTACAGTTTTGCTACCACATTGCTCGCAAGAACTCTTAGTATAGAAGAGTAGAGACTAAATCCATCCCATCGAATTAACTAAATACAGTCTGATAAACTGTCAAAGAAGTATCTTTCTAAAAATCTATTTCTTCTGGTTGCCAAATCCGGACATTTACAGAGAAAATGTGTTATGTTTTCTTTTTCTGTGGGTTTCTACAACTACTGCAGTGATGATTATGAGGAATGTGCAGTTTCTTGGCGTGGTGGGTTCCTAAATACCAATGACCAGAAAGACCTGCAGTGAGCTTTGCAGTGTTCACGTGGTTTCTTTTAATGAGTTCCAAAGATCTAATTTTCACACACATTATCAATTAGTAAATTTTAATGTAATAAAATGTAAGTCATCTCGAAAATTAAGACATATATTAAATATGTATTTTCAAAAAATTTTATTATTGTTCAAGTTTTAATCCACTTTCACTAAATTAATCCCTTTATAATATTAACAAGGATACTAACTTATTTTCTAGTTTGAGAAAGTGAAAGATATTACTATGGGTATGTTTTTTTGAGTATGAAAACAAAGAAACTCATAAGTTCCCAGTGTGGAGAATGAGGAAGTTACTACCCTATTAACTTATTTTCCAGTTTGAGAAAGTAAAAGATATGACCATGTAAATGTCTTTTTGAGTATGCAAAAAATAAACTCACATGTTCCCAGTCCCAGTTAGTATATGTGTTTAAGTTTAGGCACGAAATTAGATTAGCAACAAATTTTACTGCAATTTCTTTTATTTCCAAAACATTCGTAAAAACAGTTTCCGTAATCTCTCAAGTGGTAATTGCGGTAATAACAAGTACAAGTTGTTTGATTTTTTTTCATAATTTCATTATTGTTTTACATATTAGGATATCCAGACCTCACAACAACTTTAATATCATCTAGACTTTCGTAAACGAAATAGACTAATTTATGGGGTTTAAAAATTTTTAAAGTTTTTAGCTATGGCTTGATTTGGTTATTTTGCTTATAACAATATAAAACATCGCAATAAATGCATTATAGTAAAACAATATTAAGCTTTTTATAGTCAGTCGTTAATTAATACACATAATTTCCAATAATAGAAAACAGTTTCATAGTAAGATATCTTTATGATTTTGTGAAGTTTCCAACTAATTTTATTGTTATCGCTT